ACATTGTCTCTGGTACATGGAAAATTCTTTATCTTTTCTGGGTTAACAATTAGTGGAAATAAAAAAAATTAAAGCCCCTTTTAAAAACATACTCAAAAGGCAGAATGACAATTTGCAAGAATACAAATGGCTAATAAAAATATGAACTACCAATATTTCATTGGTTAAATTAGCAATGATTTAAAAATGAAAACACACAAAGCTTAGGAAGAGGAGTCAAAATGATACCAAACAATATTTCTAAGAAAATAATTTAGTAATATGTATCACTAGTCTCAACAATTCTATCAATCCTATGTGTCAGGAAAAGGTTTGCTCTCTTAGGAATACACCTATAATTTCTTGGTGGATAATGTAACCTCATTTCATTTAGGATGCTCAAGACAGTTCAAAGACTAGTTAGGCAGGATAACATTTAAAATATGTGTATAGACTACAAGGCATTTCATCTCTTCTGCAGATTGAATGCTAATGTGGCTTTACTTGTTTTGTGTTTTTTCAATCCCCTCAATATGAGACAGTGCATTTGAAATGCAGTTCAAGAACCAGCTAACTACATTTAACTTTGGTCTGGGCTTTATTTCCCTAGCTTTGATTTTTATCTACATATTTTCTCCCCCACCACCATTTTTTTTTTTTTTTACATCTCATCATTAATGCCATGAAAAAAAGAGAAATGAGAAAAAAATGAACCTCGCAACCATCAAGAATCAGTTGTGGTATCAATATTTGCATTGCTATTTTACAAAATGGGGAATAACTTTAAAAAGTGAGTGAGACTTTGCTTCACGTAACAAAGCTGAACACCATCTAGTTTCAATGAAATTGCCTCTAATCTTTTTTCCCCCAAGATACAGCAAGATAGCTTTAAAGTTTTTATTTTTTTCATAGGGCTGTCACCATGCCAAAGTGAAAGTCAGGAGATCAGATAATCACTCCACGGGAAAGTGGCTCATCTTGTAAAACACCATCCACACTATCTCTTGATGAGCATTCTAATCAGACAACCCATTCGCTGACTTGTCTGTCCTAATGTCTGCGATTCTTATGAGCCCAAATATAGGTTAAAAACCTTGATACAGGACAGAAGAGAGAAATAATGACTCGATTGGTGTCCTTCATCTAATTTAACAAAAGCTTATCTAAATTTTCTGGGATGAAATACCTTTGGCTTGCCAAGAAAGGTAGATTCTACTTAAATAGAATATACGGTTAATAAATGCCATAAGGGCAAAGCTGAAACACAATTGAAATAAATATGTAACAGAAGAGAACGTTGGGCAAGTCATTTTAATGCTTAAAGCCCCAGTTTTAACATCTTAAAAAAAATTGATGGTGGGTCTCTTCATGCCACTGGCTGTGTTCTCAATGACAGCTCTCTCTGGAAGAGGCGGCCCAAGTAGCAACATCAAATTCACTTGCTGCTTCATCCAGTGTGTTCTGGGCAAGTTATTTAGCCTTTCTATATTTTAGTTTCATGATCTGTTAAATGGGCTGGTAATACTAACGATTACTTCACAGGATTGCTGGTGGGACTAAATGAAGTAGGCATGTAAAGCAATATTACAGTGAATGGCAGGTATACTAAATGCACAACATATGGCTTATTAATGTTTGCAGTATTACTCTCTCAATCTAGAAAATGATACTAACCCATTGTTATGAAGCTCAAATGAGATAATGGACAGAGATGCCAACAAAAGCAATAAAAGACATACGACAGAGAGGAGGGATAATTATGATTGTGGAGAGAGAGCACTTAATATAACCATAAATTCTGCTAAGCTACTTCAGACAGTGTGAATCACTGCTAACATAATAAATGATTTTTAAAAGCAATAAAACGTGTTGGGTCTTCATCTAATAACAACTGTTGGATTGATATAAAATTTGACAAGAAGTCTGGCGCCCCTGAATGCAGCTGCCTTTCAGTGAATTTTGGGTGAGATAAGATGTTTAGCTCTGCGCCTTATGTAATTAACATTTCTTGATCTCTGTCCCTTGAAGAGGCAGCCACTCATTTAGGGATCCCCCTTAGAGAAAAAAGGCTGCCTCAGCAGGAAGCCGATTGCCCTGGCTGGCCCAAGAAGAACTGCACCCTGCTCCACCCCATTTCCCCTCTCAAGCCCCAACCCCACCAGGAATTTCCTGACCTTTCATCCACCTTCAACACTGGAGCCAAACCAAACAGCTCTTGTTATTGTCTCTGCAGCCCAGCAGAGACCAACCCTCTTCCCAACACACATACACACACACACACATACACACATGCAAGCACATGCATGAACACACAAGAGCACTCCTACACCTCCCTCTCCCTTCCCAGGAATGGCCTCTACTCCCTCCACCAAGAACT